AGCAATAAATCTTTTTAGTAATTAAATTTATTCACACATACACGCATACTTACACAACACATGTGCCACGACACACGATATATTAAGTATATTCTACACCCCTCTATATAAATATATATATATATATATATATATATATATATATTGCTGGTTTATATTTCATATGTATATAAAATATAAATTAAACAATTTTAGTTTATGGAGTAAACTATTGAACGTCAGTATAAACAAACTCATTTTTTATTTATATAGTATAAAATACACATGGTAGATATGAACGGAACAACTTTTCTCTTGAATAATTTGTGACAAAAATTTTCAATGAATTACTTGTTATTCGCATTATAAATGCCAAAAAACATTTGAAATAAAATAAATAATAAGGAAAACGATAAATCAACGTCATCTATTCGAAAGAAATTTTTAAATGAATCTAAATCATTTTAACTTGAAATGTTATTATCACTATTATAAAATTGTTTTTGAAAAAAGTTGTTTTTGTTCAAACTTATACAATATATATATATATATATATATATATATATATATATATATTAAATAATTTATTTGAATCAAAAATTTATTAATTATTATAATATGGAATAGGAGGCGAATGAATAGGAGTTGATTCCAATCAAGCTAATTATTTACGATTATATGACTCGTAAATTTCGAATTTAAAGTATATATATATATATATATATATATATATATATATATATATATATATTAGGATCCTTGTTATGAACATTTTCAAATTTCTTTTCTCCCAAGGACTTACATGCTTCCAAATTGATAAAAAAAATCCCTGAAAGTTTTAGCTCTTAATATTAACATTAAGATAGTCCACACTCCAACCAAAGTTTCTTTATTCTTATTCCTAAGTAAATACTTATTTTATGAAATATATCAAATTTTTGTTGTAAATTGTTTATTCATGATCACGATTCACTTGTCGCTAAGTTATAAAATTTAAAAAACAAATTAAATTTTACCCATGTTATTTCTATAAGGAACTTTGGTTGGAGTGCGGACTACCTTAAAGTTAATATTAAGACTTAATACTTTCAGAGAATTTTTTTTCATCAATTTGGAAGCATTTAAGCCCCTGGGAGAAAAGAATTTTTAAAATATCCATATTACGGATCATTCTATTATATATATATATATATATATATATATATATATATATATATTTATATATATATATATATATATATAATGTAAAGATACTTTAAACAAATTATACAGAACGTATATATATTTTCCCTTTTAACAGTTTTACTTCAAATTTGTTATTTTGCTTTTCACGTCAACCCTATGAGAATAATCAAAATATCATTCCACAATTAACTTCGCCTACTAAAGCTGGTGAATATTTCATTGTTCATTGAAAAACGCTACAAGTTGTTCAAGTACATTTATGAACCAACTCCATGTTTGCTATTGAAAAAATAATTGGCTTAATATACGTCTGCAAATATTTATCCGAGAAATAATAAAATCTGTGCAAAATATATAAAATTCCGGCGCTACTACTGATGAATTTATCATATATCTTATATTAGTGCAATATTTACTGATTAAGAACACTTATACATAATAATAGAGTCAGTGAAATTTTAATCTAACTTCTAATTTATTGTTCAATCTATTTTTGTGCAGTGTATCTATATTTTTAAATTCATTATATCTATTGATTTTAAGTCGATCACCTTTACAGTAAATTTATCTTCACATTTACTTTTTATCCTTCTTATACAAACGATGTGCAGCAGTCCGCTTTTTGAAGATATTAATAAATTATTCTCTTAATACAGTATGAAAATTTAATTTACATTTCTTAATTAAATTCTTGTAAGATACACTTCATGTAATTTAATTTGCATTAGAAGTTCTTTAGGAGAGCTTACTGAAAGCATCGAAAATAGATTACACTTTAAATTGAATGTATATTTATTTATAATGTTGGATGACGGAACTCAAATACTATAAATTAATAAATCGATAATTGCATATTTAAAAATATTTATCAAGGTAAATTGCGGTAGTCGCTTTGATAGAATAGGTAACTTTTTATTAGATTTTACACAACCAAATATCGATATTAATGAAACTGGGGAAGTCTTATTCGAATGGATTCCACCAAACTGTTATCTATATATTTAACACAATGTACGGTTTATTGTGGCGGCAAACAGTTGATGTGAAACTTTAGAATGAATATATGTTTTCAAAGAAAATTTCAATCTCAGGAAACTGCAGAGACAGAGTTTCGGTCCACAATGGGCGACACGATGTTAAGATCTTGTGATTCGTCTTATATATTTGTAAGTCACTCTTCACAGTCCTCAATCATGGTAACATTGAAGTATAAGTTCTAACCCATTCAGTGTATTGTTAATCGGAGTTGCCCTGGCATGTGTCTGTAGCATAAATTCGATACGATTGATATATCTAGTCGTTTTTCACTAACAAATGTTTAATTGGGTTCTATATATTTAACCGTGCATGTTGTTCAACTGTAAATATTAACATTAGGGCTAAAGTTCAGATCGCGTTAAATGTGTTCGGTTGACTTTTAGGTGTTGTTACAATCAGTGAAAATTAACAAATTGATTTATAGTCGTGTTAAATGTATATAGTAGGTATCATCTATTGATGTTCAAATGTGACAAAGCTGTGTTAACGAAATCGAGAAAACATTGTAAATCCATCATTGTCGATCATTTATGTGTTCTGTTATTTATGTCATGATGAAAATAGATTTTTGGTCTAATATATTATTTTAGCTGCAAGATGAACATAACATTCGGTAAATGTTGAACGTTTCTATAGATTAAGTTAATAATATTATTAAAATGCTTGCTGTCAAACTTAGCTACATATTACCTTTAAATTGTACATTAACTACTTATAATGTATTATAGCTGATATATATATATATATATATATATATATATATATATATATATATAGTTCATAAATTTATTAATAAAAGTGTATACTCATGCATAGGTGTACACATACATAGTTACACTACAAGATTTTGCATTTGAATATTAATAAAAGATGGAATATTAAATTCTTTAAAGATTTTTTTTCATTTCTAAATAAATTAGTTATCTAAATTATACGTATTACTTATATCATAGAGATGACATTGATTTTGATGTAAGCCTTTTAACTTATCATACTTACAATTAATCACTATTGCATACTTGCTTACAATCGACATCCAAATTAAACAAAAACAATTCATTTTATATAAATACAAATTCCAACATTGGATAATGATGGCTATATAGAAATAAGTCTTGATTTAATATTCAAATAAGGAAGTTACTTATATGTGATATAATTTTATGAATCGAATTTGGACGAAGTTTGCGTGTTCTACGTTGTTTACAAATATAAGAATTTAAAACTTGTACTTATCAACTTGATCAATAAGTCTTAATAAAATCAAAGAGAAACTGAAAAGTGATATAGAGATATTTTTGTCGCGTTTTTCATTATCTACATTTTCATTTATCGTATGTATGAAAATTGAGTGTGAAAAGAGTATCACAAAAATTGATCGCCATACATATAAAGACTGCAAAATACTGTACAAATTTGCTTGGAATTATTTATATAATTCGTAAAGTTTTATTTATAAATTATTAATCAATCTATTAGTTTTTTTCTTTTTATTTTTCAAAATGCAAAATCTACTGAATTGAAATATGAATAAATTTGATGTAGCATGTCGTTTTAAGTTAACACAATACATTCAAATACAAATTACTGACATCACAACACAATCATTTATACAGTTCCTGTTTTCACAAACACAGGCGTATTTTTAATATATAATGCAAAAAATTTAATTAAATTGAATTTTTTATCTATACATCAGTATCAAATGATCGTGTTGCTTTCAAAAATTCGGTAATTTAATACAAATCGCTGTTTAATGGGTATATAAATTATAAAATTAAGTTAGAGCTTTGCACGCTTTAAATTTGTTAATTGTAATGCTTTGCTGCTGAACAATAAATATAAGAATACTACTTGCATACCCATATATGAATATATGAGTATATTGCTATATGTATATATGAGTATGCAACCCATATATATATATATATATATATATATATATATATATATATATATATATATATGCATATTTCTGATATACACTTCGATAAAAATCACAAAAATTTAATTATTAACTGATACTGATAGAAATCATCAAGTAAAAAGAGTAAACATAAATTAATATTAGAAATAAGATTAACTTAATTTTAAATAATGAACATTTGAGGTGAGTTTATACGTTGAAGAAAACAACGAACGAAGAATTTAACATATTCATAAGAACTTTAATATCAATAATGAAACACAGTTTGATTTTTGGAAGATTGCAGGTTTATGTTCCAGCTGCGACTTTTTTTTATAAGTATAATGATATATAATATATTATTTTTATATAAAAAAATAATCTTGCACCATATTATTATCAAGCATAAAAACACATTTTTCAATGTGGTTATAAATTAAATTCAACTATTGTTTTATTAATATGGACAAACAGTGCACATTGGCAACAGCATTTTGTTTTCGTACTATACCAATTTTATGATCTTAACTTCAAAAAAAATCAAAATGAATAAAATAGAACATCTTACAGCATTGTAGAGTTTTCACGGATAACACTAATCAGTTAAATAAAATTTAGTGGGACATCATAAATTTTTTATTTAGTTTTTCACAGTCTGTCTGTCAGGATAAAAAATATGATACGATATGGAATTTGTACTTCGTATGATTTTATTTTTTAGCTATGGATACAAAACCAAATTTTATTATGATTTTATTATACTGTACATATAATATCCCCAAAAGCATTTAATTTATGTTTAAATTCTGTGTGTTTCTTCTTGTCGTTTGCATCACATATATATTAATTGTTTTCTGTGTATTTTATGGCTGCTTTGGGTCTTGGCGTCCAGCCGGTAAGTATTATTCAAAACATATAAAAATTGCTAAACAGTTTCAGAATCGCTTTTATTCGAGAACAGTCAGTTATTACAAAGAATTTGGCTGGAAATTAAAAGAAAACATTGGTCATTTCGCGAAATGAACTCCATATGTTATTCACCATTATATTCTATAGCATCATCCAGTACTTGATATGAAAGTGGTTTGAACAACAGTCCAGAACGAGCTCTATACGAAAACCATTTTATTTTATTTAATTTAAAGTATGTTTCGTTATCTATTTTTCTGTCTTGTTTTATTTTAAATAATTATTTTCATTATTTGATTAATTAATATAGTACCAAGTTCGCGTGGTTAAATAAAAATAATAAAAAGTACTGCCAAATTCAGTTATCATCTGACGAACAATTGATTACAGTCTTATGAAGTTAAGCACTAGATGCTAAATAAAATTAAAGATTTGGTTTCTACTGTAATGATGATTCACACAAATTTAATATTACAAACATATGTAATTATTATTTAAAGAATATGACCTTTATTGTTTTGGATCTATTTGTTTGTCGATATATGTTCTATGTTGCATTAACACATCCAGGAAAGTATTTTAAATTGTTTTATCAAAATTATCTACCGTAGTGGTTTTACAGAAAAATTACAATGCATGTAGTACAGAATACCTGAACGAAATCCATGGAAAATTATTAAGATGCAATATAACGTCTAGCTAAATTGTATCCAAAATCCCAGAGAGAATATATCTAAGGCGTTTGTTTATTGCATCATTATGATCATCAATGTGTTTTATTTCTTTATGTCAACATAGTTAATAAAATTATACTATTAGTGATGTAAGTGAAGATGAATGCGAAATTAATATTATTAATAATATTGCAAAATAAATTAGTTTTGTTTTCATTTGTAAAATTTTATAAACTACAACAATAATTAGCATTAAAAAAAGGTTATTGTATTATACAATGTTATATTGTTGCATATAATGGCAAAAATATTTCACTCTTTTGGTCGTTAAATTAAGCTTAATATTACAATAATATTTCTGCTAAGAATAGCTAAGAATTTAATTACTGAACATTTTTATTAATATACATTATATGTATATGTATATATATTAGGGCGGGTCGATTTAAAAGTCGCTTAGATACATATGATTTTTGGATACTGGGGATTAAAATAAGATACTTTGCTGAAGAAACGATACCTCTAAAATGAATTCTGATGTCCCGTGCTTTAGGGGTGATCTAAATATAGGAATTGAATTTTGAAAAATTTTGTTTTAACCCCCCAGGGGGGAAACCATGGGCGTGGGTGGATCGGCCTTCTAAAGTTGTTGGGGGTCGGTCATACATTTGGGCATTATTGGGGCGCTCTAAATGAGACAAAACAGGTTTTTTCAAAATTTGATTTGATTTGATCTTTGGGTGAATGCACGGGACATCAGCATTCATTTTAGAGATATGGTTTCTTAGGCAAAGTATCTTATTTTGATCCCTAGTATATGAAAATCTTACGCGCCTATGCGACTTTTTTTTACCCATACAAATCGACCCGCCCTAATATATTATATATATATATATATATATATATATATATATTATATATATATGGTGTGGTTTTATTATTATTATATAGTATGGTATTTGTAAAGCATTTTCAATACTCGTTGAAACATTTCTGAAGATCTATCACGTAAAGATTGATATGAAAATACTTGCATTAGTACGTTTTAACAGTGTGCAAGTTTTACAATTACAACGTGTAACTCGTACAACGAGTAACTCTTATTTTTCATTCGTTATTATGCAGGTGGCAAAAATTTCAAATAGGTTCTGTATCAAAATTGGTGATAATACTATATAATTTATCATGAATTGTTTTTTATCTTAATTCAGGGTGAAAATAAGAGGCGGGATGTGTCAGGTCCGAACGAGATAGTAGCCTGTACGAATTGCGGTGGTGGCAGCGGTAGTCCTTGTACCCATACGGCCAACAACGGATGCGCCACTGAAGTAAGTGATATTTTTTGTTCATTTCATTGTTTTTATTATTAGAAATCATGTTGTTTTCATCTTATTTCATGGTATTGTGCATATGTACGCTTGTTGTTGTTCACTCATTTTAGTTCAAATTTCTCATGTTTGCTATATTATCAAGTTTCATATGTTTATGATGCATGTAAAAAACATGCATGTACTTGCAAAAAATATGAAGCAAAATTACCGTGCGAGAAAATACGATTTTTATGCATAACGTAAAACTACTAACAAGCTTAGAAAAGCTTAGTCACCGCTTAATAATGTGTCTGCGAACTAAAAAATACATGGGACCATAAATCGAATGGCCTATACACGTCAGTCAAAGCAGATACCTTAACTGATAGGTAGCTAAATCGAGAATAATAGTTTTTAAGTCTGTTTTTTTTTTAAATCAACGTTTAAATTGAAATGCATTCCTATGGAGTAGCTAAAACGAGAATAATAGTTTTTAGCGTTGTTATTTTTAAAAAAAACGACATTTAATTACCATGGCAAAGCTAATTGATATATGTATCTTAAGCCCGCTAGATTATATAACAATATGCTATAAGGAAGAAATCTTACAACGTCTAATTTAGGAAAACTTGTGATATATTAACGTATTATAAAGTATTAACCCTTTTCACTCGGCACCGATTCGGACGTTATCTACCAGCAGTTTGGTGCCGCATTCCGACGAAAACTTGCCTTCTGTGAACTTGATATTATGTGTATGTTACGCAATTTGTTTAATATGAATTTATAATAATATCTAAATTTATTGTCTTTAGTATGTTAAAGTTTAAAGCCATTTCTAAAAGTGACCGTTTTTTTATCATTCCACAGAAAAGTGTAATATATCGTGTTTTATATGCCTCTGTCTTTTCTTATGAAAATTTTGCTTTACTAATTGTCGATTGTTTTACCATATTTAGAAACAAAGATTATATATTAAAAATGGTAAAAAATTCTTTGAGAATAACTAAGAATAAATTTTGGGAAACAACACTGCTTTATTTTTTGCATAGATTTATTTTAAAAATGAGCTTTTTAACTCACGAGCCGCATTTAATTTTTTAAATTTTATGGTGGGCCGCACTTATTAATAGTTGACAAAGCTTGGTATATAATTGAAAAAACAAATATTTCATAAATTAGTGCAACAAGAAAAATATAAATGATGAAAGATAGTTGAAGAAATGAATGAAATTCTACTTTGGAAACGCTTGGTGGGTCGCTGAAAAATATTTAAAGGGCGCATGAAACCCTGGAACTGCGGGTTGCTCATCCTTGATCTATTGTTTTCGACGCTTTAATGCGAACTTAGTCATTGTGTGTACTAACATGTTTCTTGTAAGTATGTAACATGTAAGTGCCGAGTGCCTCAGAAAGAATAGCTGTATGAGATATGCTAGACTTACTTTGTTTCTTCAAGGGGACACCGAGTGAAAATGGTTAATAATAATAAATTATGAATATTTTCGAATTTCTATGCCGCAAAGGGCTCAAATGCTTTCAATTTGATAAAATAAAAATTCTTTGAAAGTTTTAGCTCTTAATATTAACTCTGTAATAGTCCGCACTCCAACCAAAGTTTCTTAAGGAAATAACATGGGTAAAATTCCATTTGTTTTTTATAATTTCATAACTAAGCATTATGTGAAGCGACAAAGGAAAAAAATTTGATATTTTTCATAAAATATGTATTCACTTAGGAAGAAGAACTCAGAAACTTTGGTTGGAGTGCAGTGAATTTTATTTGAACAGCGATCAGAACTTATGGGTTCTATGAGCTGTTGTGATTAATATCTTACAAACTACGTTTGTTTTTATTACAGATGGCAACCCAAACAGTTGTCACATCTCTGTATGATAAATTTTTATTACAATGTCTGTAATAGGGCAAGTATGGTGCAACAATGCCGGGTGAGGGCTATTTTCATTTGGAAACATATTGCTATCTATATTTCCAAGTGAAAATCGTTGTCAATGTTGCCTGACAACAGGCTGCTCGAAGTGGGTATCGAACCCGGGACCTCTGAAACAAGTCCCGGCGCTCTTAACTGCTTACCTACGGGCGAGCCCAAAATTAATATTAAGTGCTAAAACTTTCAGAGAATTTGTTTTAGTCAATTTGGAATCATTTGAGCCCCTGAAAATAAGGAAATTCAAAAATATTGATATTAAAGACTACCCTAATATGCATAACAAATTAAACTCGCAACAAGATAATGCATGTTCGTCTACGTGTAAATCAAACAGAATTGTGCAATTTTAACAAGCTTGTTGGTTGCTATTCGGATTGAATAATTGAATCATTAGATATTCTCGATATCCGAAACGTTTCCCACATATCGCAAGCCGTATGCCGTATGTATGTCATTTTTCGTCTGTAGGTCTTCCGTGGCGCATTGTGCATAATGCATCTCCCAGTATGTGCTATGATTTATTGCCACGTTCCTGTGGCGTGTTGCATTAGCAATCGCAAATGGAAACTCCAAATGCTTTGTCATTCGAAACTTTAGCGCAGCGAAAACAACCAACGCGGCAATATCGAAAACATGTCAGTTCCAGATGAATATTAACATTGAACTTTAATTGAGTTCGCGAATCGGCCATTGTAGATAATTAACAATACACAACTATACTGAATGCTTGCACGGATTTCGGAAACAATAGAGTTGCGTTTATCATACACGTTCAACGGACGGAGTTGCTGTAACTCCATATAAATATATATTTAGGGGACCTAGGAGCTTGTTGTAACAGTTTTTAAGAGATCTCGAAATTCACTGATAATATTTCTTCAAAATAAAGATGGATAGATGCAATAACTTTTCATCTGCCGAATTATTCAATTTGTATAAAAAGTGCGGTGTTACAACTTACCCCGTGTTTGTAGTAACGACAAAACACCGACAATAATACCTTTGGTAATTTATTCTCTGTCTATTTTTGTTTTGAACTAACATGTTTCTAAAATTTCCTCTTCTTCTCATAAATCAACGTGTCTTCTGTAACATAACTTTTTATCATAAATTAATTGAAGCTACAAATAAAAGATATAGTTTCTCCAGTAACACATGTTCCTACTTCCTACAAACTATACATTTCACCTAGTAATCTTTTATTGCATCTAAATTAGCTTCACTACATATTAGATCAATACCATTCTTGCAAGTTAGCAACAAAAATTATATACATAATATCAAAGATTGATAAATTTGAAACGAAATAAGATACATAAAATTTAAAATTAATTGATAATAATAACGCAAACCGAGATTTTATGATAGTACAATTTCATATTGCCTATCAAAAATTACGCACCTTAGTATACTGTCTAAAGGGCCTAATGAAAAACGCATGTTACTACTTACACCTGTTACAATAAACTCCTACCTCCCCTACATGTATTAATTATATATATGAAACTGCCTGAACAATAGCATAGTTTTCAATTGTTTACTATTTTTATATACAAGAATAACTCTAGAAATAACTAGTGGGGCGCATGGCATCGTGCCTTAAGGCAAATTGCTGGTACTTCCCGTAACAAAAATTATTTTTTTTAAAAAGATTACAATTTTTGAAAAAAAATTACTCTGGTAAAAGTAGATTTTTGAAAAACTATAAATTTTTGACAAAGGCGTCGCCGTCTAACGGATAAACATTGTTACGGAACCCATAGGACTGTAAACAAAATTTATACTTATTGTTAAAATCTCTATAAAATATCTAATATTCTAATGTGCATATGTCTAATGATGATTTTTGACCGCCAAATGGCTTTTTTTTACTTTTTTTACTAGATCTCTGAAACCGCTAGACCTACCTTCATGAAAATATGATCAGTTCTTCATCTTGTTAATACAAGTAAAATGTTTTTAAATTTTTAAAATCGGACGCTCCGTTCTCTTAAAACCCGGGTAAGCGTTTTTGGCACTTTTTGCCCCGTATCTTTGGAACGGCTAGACCTGCCCCCACCAAAAACTAATCAGCACGTCTCCTTATCAGTACGAATCGAATGTTTTCTGAATTATTTAAATCGGTTGATCGGTGCTCCCGAAATCGTCGATGAAAATTTGTATCCGCTCACACACACACGCACACAGACACATACATCTATTTTTTCTAAGGTATGCCAAAATATTCAGAAACCTTTGAAACGTAAAGATATATAAAAATTTTCATTTTTGATTTTTTTGCGATTACTATAACTTGCCCTACGGGAAGTTAATAAACAATTCAAAACTATCCAACGCATATCTGGTATTCAAAATAAAGCTTAGATTTTTTAACCTCACTATTTTCTTATTTGAAGAACTTAAGACTTTTTCTGAAATATGCTTCATATAATTATATAGCTTGTGTTGTATAATCGTTTCATTCTTTTGAAAAACAAAAATTAGGTTTTGATATAATATTTCTAATGTTTTGAACAATCAATAAATACAATGATAAATTAGATACACTTTTTTAAGTTATTTGGGTTATTTACTTCTCAACCAATTATATATTTTTGTATATCTTATTCTGACTGAAGTGTTTGGTATGAGATATCATACAACTATGTTCAACTTGGTGTTCCCAAGCGGTCTGCCATCTAAATACTATCCACGCCCAAAGTTGCTTAACCTGAAATGAAATGTTAATATTTTTCCAAAGGTAGGCTAAAACTTCATCCAAAACCTATAGACTTTATGGAAACTAATATAAAAATCGATAAAACTATTATTTATAAACTTCTCTATTATTATTCAGTCGGTTTTATTCTGATTTCCCTTACTTTTTCTATACGACTGATAAGCTATAAAATGAATTGACCGACTTATATTACAAAATCACACATGGGTATTTACTATTAGATACAATTTGACTGGATCAAGAATTGGCCATAATTTTTTCAATCTTCTAAATTCTGGTGCATAGAGCACCGGAGCAAGGAATGAATTGGGGTGATTTTCTAATTTGTGATGGTGATTACTGGATCTTGTTTTAATAGGGTCTTTAATATATAACACCTTCAGATCACAAAGCAGAGTTTTATTGCTCATGTACCAGAGTGCACCTGTTATCAATCTAAGTAGTTTTGATTGGGTCTGTTGTACCAATGCCACATTAGATTTGCTAGAGTAGCCCAAAAGCTCCATTCCGTGATAGTTTCGTGTGCTATTACGTCCGATAAGCCAATAAGATATCAGAGATTGTATCCAGATTTGGTAAACGATTTTAAATTTTAGATCTTATTTATTTTGTATTATTAAATGCATTGATTCATTGTTGTTCAAATCATCATCATCGCCCTGCACGATCATGCATCACCAACCGCTTGCTTAGCATGTTCCGCATGTAATTTGCCAATCATTGTAATTCGAGTCAAAACTCATCGTATTTCCTAATTGAGTTTACTGATTGGATTAATCAAATGAATTTTATCTAGACTGGGTTCGTGCAGGTGCGCAAAAAAGAGCCGCCTCATCCGATCCGAGTTGCGAAGACAATAGACGTTATAGCGAGGATCACTTTCCCGACTGCGTACGCGATATTTTTAATTTTCTTCTTCATCCACTACAAAGGATTATAAGACAGGTTGAATGTACGAAAGCAAAGTATAAGACATATATTTATTTAAGTAAAGTTTTCTTCGAAGGATAATATCGACAGATTTTGCTACAAAGCAAACAAGAGGTGACAAATGTGTTATTTTCGTTGTACGTGTGCAGCAAAGTTTTCAGATTAAAAGTTACCGGACACGACGCACGTGATGTACTGTTTATGAGATTTTGTTGGAGCGATATATAATTTTATATAAGACGAATTCTATTCGTATAGCGTGAATAAAGCTATGATATAAATAAAAGGATTCATCCGCAAAAATTTTGATGTGTTCGGGAAGTTATATTCATCACATGTTAAATAATTTTTTACATAATATTAAATATTGCAATAGAATATTCTTAAGAAGATTTTGTGTGAAAGATTTTTATGCTTAAAAAGCTCGATAAAATTTACATCTGTTTCGCTGTTCCAATATGTACCTTGATATTGAGATTCAAACCCTAGTTTTTCACATTTTTCTATATAAGTTCAAGTAAATAAAGACATTGTATAATTATTTTGAACAAAACCAAGCATATTTTTTATATTATGTATTACTGAGGTGACCATACGTCCCGGTTTGACAGTCCCAGATTTCCACCTTGTGTCCCGTGATTTTCTCAAAGCAATATTTGTCCTGGATTTAGATCTTCTGTTCCGGATTGTTCCTGGTTTCTGAAAATTATAAGTTTAAGTTGAATTGATAATAAAATTAGAACTTCCCATCAAATATCTGAAAATAACATACGCAATGAGTTATATGAAACAATACGTCATGAATGTGAAAATTGCCGAAAACAAGCCTCAACATTAATATATCAATAAATAACTTTATTTTAATATTTTTAAATTAGTTATTTAAATTTTCTTTTATTATTTCACGAAAATTAGCAAGAATTATGAAAACTAGCTTTTTGACTACTTGACACATGTGCTAATTTTCTCAAGCTAATTATGAAGATAATTGAACAGAATTTTATACAAGGCTTAAAAGCAAAAAAACATATGGATAAAAAAATATGAGATATATCATAGGTAAAAGAAGAGTATATATATATATAACATTTAATCGAATAGTAAATGAAGTTCTTACTAGAAGCCCGTAATTCTGATGTAAAACAAGTTAATTTATTAGAAAAACTTTCTTCATTATTTCTTAAATAATATTTTTGTTATTTTAAAATTATATTGAAGTTATTTAGAATAACCTCCCCCCCTCACCGTCCCAGATTAGAATCACTAAAAACTGCCGTCCCGGTTTTGACTTAAAAAATATGGTCACCTTAGTATGTAATAAATAAGATGAATTTACAAAATGCCTATACCAAGAAACGTGAATTTTTGCAAGTAGAAATTACTGCAAAAAGAGGAATGGGATTTGATGAATGTACTACTTTATAACGTGTATTGATGTAATAACTTATATTATATTATGTATGAAATCAATGATTTTTTTCAAATAACGAGGTTTATTGAAGACACATCAAAGTTTTTGTAGAGTGTTAATAATTGCAATCGGCACTTCTAACTTAGTTGATATGAATGCGACACTGTGATAGAAAATTATTGATTATGTGATGAACATTTAAAAGCCATAGTCAAAAAGCCAAAAGTGCGTATGCGTGCGATATTAGACTTAGGTCGAACAAATACACAGCCATATAATTATATTTATTAATTACTGTTAAAATATATTAAAGTATATAGAGTTTGTAAATATCAAATATTTACAGGCCCGATATAATAATTTAGTTATGTATTAAAATCGCAATCTTTAGATGTGTTCACCACGTCATGTCCATGAAAGACTTTTTGTCATATTGAAGCGAAAATTGGTATCTAAATGTTACAGATTTGATGATTATTAGCCGAGATAGTACAGATCATACAAAAAATTATTCGGAATTATGTAAATGATGTTGTTCCATTATCTACTACCAAATCTATATAACTCTTCTTTTCGCTTCAAAATAATTTTCATTATTGGTTATCGAAGTTTTATAATTTCAGAGTCACAATTGTAGATCGTTAATTCGTAAATGATATTTTAAGCGTTTGTGGCAGCTAAATAGTTTATATTTATTTATACTAATTTGAACTGGCAAGGTGTAGTAATTTACTAAGGCTTTCAAATATATTTGCTATTTAACAGCAAATAATTGTAAGTAAAACTTTGATACGCCAATTTGATTCTAGCTATTTTCTGTGAATGTGTTGTAACTCCAACCCAAGTACAGATATATATAATTCTATTCTACATGTTGTTCACGATCTCTAAAATAATTTAATTTATACCAAACGCAATGATTATCAAATTTAGTTTTTTTCTGGTAATAACGGACTTGTATTACTATACCAATTAATATGTAAATATAGTTATTTATAAATGTATTGGACTCAACTACGCTGTGAGAATGTACTTCATATATTTGTCGAAAAGTTTTACTCATATTTATTATGTATTTCATTTTATGAATTTCAATTATCAAGTATTATTTTAACGTTTTGAAAAATATCTGAACTTTATGAGGTTATTTAATAACTCCAATAAAATAATGTGTTTATGTGAATAATATGTACATTACATTTATAGTTTTTTATTATTTATCAAATAATCTTTTGCAAATTCTGTTTCTTTTTCTTATTAGAAAATTGTTATATATTTTTGACTCGAGAACTAATGAATTTTGTGAAATCAATTGTAAAGTAATAAATCAAAACGACCAGTTTTCAACATTTAAATAAAGATATTATTATAAATGTATATATTTGATAATCCTAAATAAAATAAAATATAATAGCTTTTTCAAAAACTAATTTCCACCAAATCTCAATATTAATATAATAATGTTTTTCGCAAAATGAGAAATGTGCTGGACATGTTTGTTAAAAATATAAGTATTGTTGTTAATATAGAAATTATAGGCTTTTAGTCTTATTTTCTTTGAAAATTAAATTTGACATTCTAAATAAAAATGTGTCCTTCAACTTTATGCATGACTTTTTTGTAATATTGCAAATACATATATATAAAATTAAGATTCGCAAAAATACGTAGTAATAGTATTGAAAAATTTTAAAATGTTGATATTAGGGGTAAATCACGTAGTAATGATGAATTAAATGGTTTCGCAAATTTATTAAGAATTCGACTAGTGGCTAAGTTTTATTCATTTATATACAATGACACTAGTAATTTTTGCTAATTTTAAGTATATTGCTGAATTTCGTTTGAAATCATAAACTACGCAAGTTAAGCTTCATAAGAAACAACTATTTTTTTCGTAGTTAGTTAACATTTTTACCTCGTATAGAATAATTTTCTGTATAAAAATTACATTCGGAATATTGGTCATTGCGTTATTATATTATTAGTAAGAAGTGATCTAAATCTCTAGTCAATTTTTGGCTGATAGTACTTTATTAGCTTAGACAATTCTAGTCATTGTTTTAATTACTGCACTAATTATTGTTGTTAATATAAATAAATATTATGCATTTTTTATTACGATATAATTTTGCTAAAATATAATATCTTGTCATACTAAGTATTTTGGGAATAAATATTTCGGGAATACACCAAATTTAGTAATATAAATCCATGATATTTTGGAATATGAAAATTTTTAGTTCAGATTACTTGTAATACCAAAATTATTTCACAAGAGATATTTAGTAATGATATTGTATTCTTTTTTTCCTTTAAAAACTATAATACTATAAAGTTAGAGCTCATGTACCTATTAATATTTATAATGTTTTATTGTGTAACCAGATTATTCCATTCAGGATAATCAAATGATTCTCTACAAATCGTTGTTATAAATAAAATCAGCACGAAGCAAAAAGTTGGATATACTTTTTATAAACTCTTATTTTAATAAGTTAATATTTTGTCTTGAATGTAGGTGGATTATCAGAATATTTATTCGTCGAAAAAACTTAGTATGATGGGTTATGCTGTATGTTTGAATAGGCAACCAGGACATAAATCACTATATATGCTCGTTAAGAGTAAATTCATTAATATTTTTTCAAGCATAATATTTATTTATCTATGAAATTAAATTTCGATATTTAAAAATGTGCAAAGCATGAATGTAGTTAAAGAATATTTAATAATTCTTAATGTATGGCACTGAGTGTGTTGTCCTCATTCAACGTATAGTCGTATGACCAGGCGTTTTAAATTGTTATACTTGAATTATGAATTTAAGTCATAGTTTATATAAAATGAATGTTATTTATTATATATATTTGGTTTAAGATCATAATTATGTATATATTTTATTTAAAAGTCGTTACCATTGCCATTAAATGTTCTATATTTTATATAATAGTTATACATGAATTCCTAGCACATTTTATTGAATTGTTTTTGTCGAATTTTGATTCGAATCGAAAAATATTTTGAATTTTCTATTAATTATCAATAATAATGTAATTATGTTTGAAATTACCCAAAACAACACAGATTAATTGTTATCCTGTACCAATGTTAATGTGGATTTTGATGAAAATTATTCAATGGCGCATACAATACTAGCAACTAAAAATGTTGCACAAATATGCCATTGGAAATATTATTTAATTTTTGCAAGGAAATGAATATTCATACGCACACTTAACGATTTATCTACATAAGTATTATGCAGATATAACTAATATAATAATATAAAATCTAAAAATTGTAATTGAATTATATTTATTACCTACACGGATCAAGTATAAATTATTTTTTTATATTATAATTTTAATAACTAACTTATCCAAATATGGAGTTGTTAACAATAATCAACTTTAACACCAATTTTATTATAATCATATATCTTCAAGTAGGGGAGACTGGGTACGGTTGTACCACTTTTTTGATCTGTAATAATTGGAGTTAGTTGGAAGAAAAGTAAATTAAATAATAATATGCACATTTGTCTACGTGGGAATACTTAAATACTGTCTTTAAAAACGATGGATTTGTCACAAAATCAAATCATACAAAAAGG